GTCATGTGTGGGCTTGAATAACACTGACAAATACTTTGTGGTGATATTTTCGTTGAAAGTGAACGAAGCTTAGAAGTCTTTTCCCAAGAGTTATCTTCGCGAATGACAAAATATTTCGCTAGAATGCGGGAACACCGAATGAGAAATAAACAAAAGAATTCGGGGCTTTTAGATACTTTATACACACGTGTGTAGCACCAAATGCGAAGAAATTCACATATGGCAGTCAAAAGCAGTACAGCGTATTGAGAGTAAAACCATCTCCATTAAGGCAGTTATTAAACAAGTAGAATAGTCGCGATTAATTTTTGTCATGATTAAATTGTACTTAGCTTATTTAGTAGAACAATTAACATTTCTCACGGATAAATTTAAAACCAAACGCCGGCTGATGGACTGAGAGAGAAAGACAAGACATTCCATGTCAGATGTGCCTCGCCGCTGTTAAGGAGATTACTACGTTTAACTTTAAATATAAACTGGAACAGAAAGGGCGGTGCCTATCGATGGAGGGGGAGTATTAAGTTGTCCAGTTACGTACGGGTTATGTATGGCAGATTACTTCGTTCTTGTCCATAGTTTGCACAGTTAAGATTCGTGAAACTAATCCCAAAACTTCATACATGTCAAGAATACTGGACGGACACGATATAATTATCCGAGTAAACGAACAAGAAACTCAGACAAATCGTTTGACGGACAACGAGGATCTAGGGATAAATCCTTGCAAAGATCTGTGTTTAGCTGCAAAGTTTGCGTCAGTAGAGACCCGTCCTGCTCGTAACATGTGCTCATCACGAACAGCCTACTCAGACAGTCCTTACCTCTTCAGATAAATATAATCTTAATCAACAAGACAAAGTACCGAAATTATTTTTACCTACCTTCAGTACTTTAATATAACTCGCCTCATTAATAAACTCCCTGTGATCAAATACAAATTTCACCACTGTGTTCATAAATGATTTTATTTAACCTTATTCAACGCAAAGCATCGCAGAAGCTGATCACAGAATCCAGTCCCGGGCCACTTAATTTATGTTGACAGCTTCCATTTTACTGATTCCTTCAATCTTCGCCCACGTGTCATATGTGGTCTGTTCGTCTGAAGTTTTACAAACAAAATTCTACGTAGGCCTACCTTTAATCAACCTCTACAATAATTATCGCGTAGCCTGGTTTCCAAATATAAAGGGGAATTAATAATAAGTTTATAATTTATTTCTCGTGATACTGTGACGCCCTTTTTACACTGCAGAAGTACCATGGACTGTAGTGGTCTCCGGAAATAGTTTGAATGTTATTTAAGGCGTAAAAAATGTACGTGAGTGAACGTTTCACAAAAAATACACATATTACGCGTTGCATTCAAAATGTGCGTCTCATGAAATTTTTGTGTCTTCAATCTTCGCCCACGAATGCGCAGAGTTGCTCGTGTGTGTGAGACGCAGTACAATGGTTTTCAGAACCCACGTGCACCCCACTAAATATCTGTCATCATATTTCGTTAAAAGCTAAATTAATGCAGATTCCAATACCCTCAATATAAAAACAGAAGTCTGGTTATCTCAAGTACAGTAAGAAACTTAAGTATGACAGATATTTAACATTTATACTTTCGGGATTCACATGGCATCGTTTCGAGAACCACCACTCCCGTTCTTATCCTCGGCCAAATCTCCGTTCTGAAGTCCAACCGCTGTCGGAAAGCCTTCGGAACAAACTGCTTCTAACCGAGCGCTGTAATCTGTACAATGGCCACAAAATGCTTAGATGTGGGTTCACTATTTGTACACGTCCGCGGCGGTAAAGGAATAAATTGATCAGAAGGCGCCCTAGACAAATAAATGAACATTTAAACACATTCTTACAGACCAGAAGATGTACAATTCTTCAGATACTCCGGTTAATTTTCCTACATTTATTAACACGCCAGTTCCTGCAAAGGAGATCCCACGTCTAACCTGGTGACTGAATGAAAGGAGGACACGTGTGTCACGTGGGGTTACCGGAGTGACGAAGAAGGGAATGCCTGGCGTTGGAACAGCTATTTGTCACGGGCTACACCAAGGAAAAATCAGACCTGACGTTGGAAACCAATTAAGAATGTCGCCCATTCCATTGTGGTCCGCTATAGGGAGGTAGAATGACGACCGGGAGGTGAGATAGGTCAGACTTCGTAGTCCATCACCCTGTGACGCCTCTGCCGCCAAGGGCACTGCTCGACACATCGAAAGCATTGGAACTATAATAAAAACTGCTCCGTGAAATTTGTTGAAACAGAGCAACTACTCACGGATGCAAAACTGTAGTTCTCAGAAGATAACATTTTCGTCACATTCCTTCAACTATGCCGCGTTTATTCCACGACGTTTTTAATAACAAGATCATAGAAGGTTCGACCGCATTATTAATGCCTCCGAGTGGTCTGACTAAACTGAAAAGCAACTTCGCCCGAAAATCTCTCTAGCACTTGTAAAATAATGTCGGCGTTCGACTATGCTCGCGCGCACACATTAGAAATCATTTCTTTACGCTCGGTCAAGTCTCTCGTATGGTCTTCCGCGGTGGTCTGATACAAAATTTCCTCCACGCGGCCAAAAGCTCTCTGCTCCCAGGCTATGGGACAAGTCGTATCCTTCGGGAACGGCTACTCCGATCCTGGAACCAAAAGCTTCGTCGGGGTTGGGCTGGCAAGTGAGTTTTCCTGTTATTACAGCATCCGGGTCCTACAGACGAAGGGCAACGGCACACGAGCGATAACCGAATTTGCCATTCATTCATTCATTCATTCACCAGAGAATGACGTAGTTTCAGAGCTGGTCTATTCAGAAATCGCAGATTTATTCAGTTCCAGAAACAAGAAAGATATTTTTACCGTGGGTGAAAATTGTATTTGACAAAACCTAAAATGCCTTAGAAAAGATTCTCAATAGTCAGTATTGCCCATTACAAAAAAAGCAACTGAATTATTTGGTTCGTATTCAAAATGTCGAAACGTCCAGGTGAAAGTGTACAAAGTGTGTTACGGTATGCCAAGTAATGAATAGCACATAACAGTTAAGAGACATTTAGTTAATTACAATAAATGGTTAAAATGGGGATATTTTTTTCTATCTTATAAGAAATGATGAAATCATTTCCATTAGGAAAAATGAAAATGCTCAGGGAAATAAATTTGTGCTCAAGAATTAGTTTGTGCGGCAATAAGCAGCCCAGCCTTTACATGTGAAGCTAAACATCGACCTCGCCACATCATGGTAAAACATTGCAGCGAAGAATGCTTTTACCCCAAAACATTAATGTCAGCAAAGTTTCCTCACCTGTCGTCCATTCGACATTTTCCGTCCCGAACTTTGCAATTGACTTTGAAGTCTTCAAATAATTTGATGCACTTTCTTTCCTGCTGGCAGACGGAAAGGGCGTGGTTGCAGGTGGGCAGCGCGTCCACGGGGTACGGGTCCTTTTCTGCAAGAAACGACAAAAGGCAGGGTCAGTCTTCGGCTGAGACTTCAGACTCTCAAAAATGGCTGTCTCCCGGGACGCCGACCTGTGTAGTCTGGCAGAAACTGACCAAACGTTTTGGTGACATCTTTTGCCTCTGTCATCAGAGCGATTGCAGCGCCAGCAACGAAAATTACCTTTGCCTTCCAGCAAAAACAGCACGTGTACAGAAAGACGCACGATACCAACTATGAGTTCTTAAATTATTGTCACAAGATCGTGGCCTTTTCCAAATACAATTCTCGCGGAAGTACCCTTAATTTTAGGAGTTTTCTCAAAATGCATGAAGAATCTACGACTCCGGATTCATATAATTTTCAGTGACTTAGAAGTGCAGCTTCTCAACTAGTGACCCGTCTTTTATGGAATTCAAAGATTTTTTACCGTGTACACAAGAACCCATCAACGATTCCTATCAATTCTCAGATAAATCAGTTTACATCCCGAAGCCAATTTCCGTAAGATCCTAAGTTGCATATTAATATTATCTTGGCATCCGCACCCATTTATTTTAGTGGTATCTTCCCTGGAGGCTTTGAAGCCAACATCCTGTACAAATTTCTCTCCGCCCTTAAGACTTTTAGTGGTATCTTCCCTGGAGGCTTTCAAGCCAACATCCTGTACAAATTTCTATCCGCCCTTAAGAGCGCCACATTCCTCACACACCCAATCCTGATTTCTCCATTCTCCCAATACTTGGTACAGAGTAAAAAAGAAGGAGCTCGTCATTACACGACTTTTTCTCCGGCCTCCTCTCACTTTACCTCCCTTGAGCCCAAATATTCTCTGCAGCATCCTGTTCTCAAAGACCCTCATCAACCTGTTTTCTTCCCTCAACGTGAGAGACCAGGGTTTGCACCCATACAAAACAACTGGCAAAATTAGAGTTTCGTTCGTTTTAATCTTCACGTTTTTTACGTAGAGCAGACGGAAAGACAAAAGAATCCGAACTGCGTTCACGCCACAAACGTCTTTGTCGTGAGAATTGGGGAGAGTGAGGTCACGTGGTCGCAGGAACCAATTGTATGGACCACCACGGCCAATCAGAGAATCGTCACGTGTCGACTGAAACGCTGGAAGTGAGTAAGATATTAAAAAGAACATCGTAACAAACTGATTAAGGAGTAAAGATGGAGATTCCGGCGATAACATTTAAACACATTTCACTTCTGTGGGTGTCATATGTGGGCTCTACAATGCGGGGGCCATTGCGGGTAGAAACACGTGCAACTAACCCGGTCAGCAGCAGATATTCATAACCAACTTCAGCTGTCGCTCACGGAATTCCATGTCGTGTCTTCAATTCGAGCCTCCCCCTCTGAAAGAGACTTTCCTTCCGTAGAGGAATTATCGGACACAATTTTATTTTGACGTCAAAACTTTCGCATATTTTTCTTGCTGTTATAATTCTATGTGGCACCTGCGCGATAGACTATAGGATAGTAATGCATCAAGTTCAGATCCTAGAAAGTCTAGAAGGAGACAAGGCAATATAAAAACTGATAAATAATAATGAATGATATTTAATAATGTAAAAAAATCAGCTCAAAACGATTTCCGGCATGAAGTAAGTTCTGGAGGAGGAAACTTCATGAGGAATTAAAGCCAATATTGTGTGAAATTGGTCATACGGAGGACGTAATTTCAAGTCTTGTTCGTTTATGGTTTTACCAATGAGTTCTGCACAATTTTCTTCTCGTCCAGTATTTACAGCAAAATTGAACAAATGATTTTATATCTAGAATAACAAAGCACAAGGCACAAAAGCTGAGTTAGTGAAACAGATTATTGGCTCCACTAACAATTCTTCTTATCTGCGTAGTTAAGTAGAATAAACTAATTGTGAATTAAGAACACGCAGAAGCAAAAGGCAGTGGCCCATTTGAAAGAAGATAAGTGTGGATAGAACTGGTTAACTTTGACATACGAACTTAAAGCATCCACAAAAACTAAATGTGCTCGCAATTGAAAACTTTTTGCAGAAAATGATTCCAGGAAATTCTGTTCTGTTGCTTGCGAGATTCACAATTATAATGTATGCTATATTAAAGAAGAGTTGCCTTTATGGAAAAAATGAACAAGGAATTCAGAGCACGAAAATCTCCTTCCGCAAGAGAAGAAGAATTTTGGAAGGGCCCTCCTTTAGGACTGTGATATTAAGTCGCCTGGCTTGCTCACCCACGACGTCCAACTCTGCTGAAATGCGACGGTCACAAGACGAAGAATCTACACGAAGAACAGACGGAGAAAGCAGACATCCAAAATGAGGGGGAGGATTTTCTCTTTAAACCCCGCCCACTGCATCACATTTGCATTATGCATACCGAATCTTTTCGTTTCGTGGTATAAAAGTTTCATGAGGCTGCTATTAACTGAATATAACACCACAGCGGGAAGGTGTCGAAGTATACCTTGCCGCTGGGAGAATATTTCGTCAAGTGTTTTGAAGACGGGCCGTGAGATATTTAATGCGGGTAGATACAAGGACTGCTCATCAGGGACTCTGGCGATCTTACGAGTATGTCGGGAATACGAAACGAAACAAGAAATGTGAGTCAGATACACGCAGGAAACGAGCGGAAATAAAAACCTCTGTAAATAAACCGCCACGCTAGAGAGATATTAATTTCCTCTGTTCAAATATTCTATGATTTTTCTTATTTTAATGCTTTATAAGAAAAAAGTTGATCTGTACAAGACATGAAACTGTTAAGGACTGCCTGTTATCAACTGTGTGAAAAATCCTCATGGGAGAGTTTCCTGTTGAAACAAAAATCGCATTGTATTCACACATATAGATCGTGCTAAAAAGAGCGTGTAGTTTGTGTTTGGGGCAGCTTTAAGACGTAGCTTACAGGCTTAAGAATCACAACTTAGACGCCCAATATAAAACGTTTGCCCCAATCCAATATTTATTTTTATAAAATTCGTACGTCATGTCTGAAAGCCTCAAAAGAAACTTTATTTTTTGTGCTGTAAGCAGAAACTGCAAGGCGCGAGAACCAGTCCTCAGACACACAAGTTGTCTACGTTACACGCCCATGTCCGAGGGAAAAGATAAATAATTAATAACAATCAGCAGCAACACTACCGTTACAGCAACGGGCAAATGACCCCAAGAAATCAGAATAGATGAAGCGCAAACATTTGAATCTTGTATCATCACAAATGTATGGAAATTAATTAATAAAAATTAGCATTAATTGTTGCGTCCTCGGTAACACCTGATGGCAATTTCTGCAAGAAACAAAAATAAATTATTAGCACGTACTGACAGAAAACACTTGTTACAAAATGAAGGTATGGAACACAGGCGACTTTTCAGGAACAATTCCATCGCAACCATTATTCACGAAATACAGTCCTGAGTTATAAAAGTCGATAAATGTTACTCCAGACAAGTCCACTGGAGAATACGCAAAATCGGCATTGAGGCAGTGCGCAGACGCAGAAGAGAAACACAAAATATTTATGTAGATCCAGTCAGATCCTTCGGAGCTCCGAGTACAAAGACGACAGCTGGAAGATCTATGGCAGCCCGTGAATATAACGGAGACCCGACCTGTTTCTGACAGGTTCAAAGTTACGATCAAGGAGCAACATTACACGGGCCTTACTCCGTCATGACGAAGCCTGCCTCAGTTTACGGTGAAACGCAATTGAACAATTATCCACTTAACTTTGAAAAATTTAAAAGTGTTTGAACAAAAGAGATTAAAGACTATTTCTGAATTTATTAAATTAAGATTAGTCCTAAAGATGGCAACTGAAATGTGTGCCGAAACGTTGGAAAACTTCCAACAACCGATACAGCTTATCCCCTAAAGCCGATATGCCTCATTCTCCAGCCTTTGAAACCTAAAGACAAGAATTGTTCTTACTCTACTTGAACAGTCTGGGAAAACTATTCAGGCCAGCTGAGTTATTGAAACACGAGTGACTTTCAGGGCTTTGTAAGTGTCGAGCCACTTCGTCGAAGACAACAAAGAAATCATCCACAGTCTGTAGGAAATGGTAAGGATGTAGAAGAGGTCCTAATTTTAAATCAGTTTGAAATGTCTTAACGAGCCCTATAAAGTGTAAACGAGAAGTATTGTTTAAACTTTGTTGGTATGTGCAGTACTTCTGACGCATTTTTCTTGGATGTGTGACACGGTTCATGCCAGGAAGTGATCACTCACTTCCTGTCCTTGTCCGAGAAGCAATTGATGCTGGTGAAAACACGCCCACATCTGTTTAAATTTTACCTCGACCGATCTAACAAACATCGTTGTCATTTTCAACCAGTGCACTCGGTAGCATGTTGAGAACTAACAACTATGACCGAAATGTTAGATCGCTACTAGCTCCATCTGCATTTAGTTATGAAGGTAAGTGAAGTGAATGTCATTTGTGACCTTCATAAGAGAAACAGCGAAAGCTGGCACCATCTTGCACTTAACGTCACTTGCCGATCAGAGTTGGACGTAAATAATGTAAAAAATAAATTAAAATAAAATATTTTAAACCTGTCATAAGTTTCAAGTTATGAGCGATACTTTGTTCAATCCCGTAAATAAACCAAGATCCACTGAGGTAAGAGTATGAAAGTATAAAGCGGCGGATGTTTCTGTATTATGAATTATTTTCTTAAATAACACTGGTCTTTAAGTTCCGTGCCCGGTTTACGAATCTACATAAACACTGTCAGCGTCGAGACGTCGAATACGGAGGAAATTTGATGGCTGAATAATTTAACTTTGTATTCCCTTTGTAGCTCGGATGCTTGCATCGAGCGCTGTACCCAATTTAACTTCGATAATGATGCAAGTATCCACTCCATCAAAACCTCCGGGATTGAGTGTCGTAGGATATTTACTTGAGTTTACCCGCTTACATTTACTTCTTCCGTTCTCCACTTTGTGTTAAAAGAAAGAAAATCCGTTTTCCTTCAGCATAATAGTCGATAAAGACGAGAGAACACC